CTTAATGCACATACCAAAAATTTAAGAAGCCATGTAGTTTTTAATTCTTTTCTAAATGATCAATTTGGTGACTTTCTAAGAAATTAATCCAGGAAAAGATAAATCTAAAAAATTTACAGTCAAAAAAGATGTTGAGTACCAATATCTTCAAAGGTTGATAAGCTGTTACATTGTGAGTCTCAGTAATTCACATGCTGATGTCACACATCATATATTCTCAAATTTTCAAGCTCTCACAGCAAATTATTAAGAACTAAGTTATTAGGAAAAGCGGAATGCTACAACCAAAAGCACACATTCTGATAGTAAGCACCAAGATCAGGGACCGGTTTTCTTTAAAACACGATTCTAAAAACAACATGGGAATAGAAGGAATTGAAAATGTTCAAGGCAGATACACCATTCAGGATCAGCAACAGTTTTCGCAGCTTGCCAGCAGCCTCGGGGACATCACAGCCCTCCATTGTTCCTCCCAGTTTCCTTCATGTTGTGAATCAGCTCCTCTCTTTCATTGTCCTATTGCTCCTGCTGCTGCCTATAAATACACTTTTCTTGTGTCTGTTTCACATTCAAACCCCTTGAGAGAGGATATGAGTGATACACTTCGTGCCCATCATCCAAGTGGCATTGAGTTGCCTGACTCTCCTGACCTTATAGATGACAAGCTAGCCTATAAATTAGCTAGTTCTGGGAAAGACACCCACCCGTGGTCCAATTACCTGTGAGCAGGTGGTGGGGGTCGCATGTGTCAGGCATGGAGTCCGAAGGGTAAGGCCTTTGCCTTTAAGGTGTGCTCCCTGACTGTCAGAGGGGCACAGTGCTTGTACAGGCTAGTTCAGGCTTTTCTTGGGCAAAGTTGGTCATAAGGTTTCTCCCATTAGTGACCCTCCCTCATCATCATCCTTGCTAATAAATATCCACCCAAGAATACTCTAACTTTAAATAGAGGAATACCTAAAGCACAAGGGCATTGAATCTAAATGAGTTTCTGGCTTGAGGACCTGTTTCCACCTCAAATGCCAGAGTCCCTTCCAGGATCCTTTACTCCTATCGAGCAAAGACCTTAACGCTGTTGTCTTCTCAGTTTTGTCATGTCAGAGCATGGGCGTTGTAACTTGCAGGACGTGTCAGTAGGATAAAGATGAAGAGAGGACCAGGTGCAGAGGCTCATGCCCATAATCTCAGCACTTTGAGAGACCAAGGCAGGAGGATGGCTTGAGGTCAGGAGTTTAAGATCAGCTTAGCGAGAACTAGTCTCTACAGAAAAATTTAAAAATTAGCTGGGTGCAGTAGCATGCACCTATAGTCCCAGTTACTAAGGAAGCAGAGGTAAAAGGATGACTTGAGCCCAGGAGTTTGAGGCTGCGGTGAGTCATGATCACACCATTGCCCTCCAGCCTGGGCAACATAGCTACATCCTGTCTCTAAAAAAAAAAAAAAAAAAAAAAAAAAAAAAGTAAAGAGGAGGATAGTGCATTTTGGGTCTATGTATTCCAGGCATGGGATTTCTCCCATTCTGCATGCTACATTCCATTTCTAAAACTCACTTAGCCATGAGAGATGACAGATAAATCAATAGATAGTGCTTTATGCCTAATGATAATCTCGACCAACATTAGTGTGTCTTATTTTTACATGCATGCTGCCTTACATTTCATAATACAGGCATCATTATGGCCGTTATGTAGAGAAGTGAACTGACAAGGAGAAAAGTTAAGTAGTAATTTGTCCAAGACATCAGAACTGGTAGGTGAGCCCAAAATTTTCAACCCCAAGAATTTGAACTCCATCTTTCCACTATGCTATGAAAAGGCCCAGGAAAAGTGATGCTATAATTGCCTCCTGAAGGTATCTCTAACAGTAATATTGTGTGGGCATGTGTGTGCATCTCAGAAATGACCTCCAATGAGTGTGCAAGGTGAGATGCAGTATGTGTGTGGGTATATTTAGGAAAAGACGGTGTGACATCATCTCTTTGGCACCTCATTTAAGTAGACCGTGTTTCCCAAAAAGGAGATGTGGCTTTGTCACTTAAGCGAATGCTTTTTTCCTTGTGTCTCTAAGAATCCTTCAGAAATATTCACCAGTTTCCTTTACTTTTTTTAGTGGGAGACCGTCTACAGGATAATTAACCTTTCCCCTTCTCCTTCTTCAGTGTGTAGTGAGGGACGTACCTTGATGGGGTCCAAAGCAAGATATTTATCAAAGAAGAGAAAAAAATGTGATGTCAGCCAAGTTTATCCCTGGGATATTTCTCCCTTTTCTTTACATGTACTTTAAAACTTACTTCAATCCAGGACCAAAATATTCCCTTACTGTTGTGCCCAGATTTTTCTCATCTCTGTTTGATGGCTTGTGCTTCACAGCAAAAATCACAGGGGCAATTGTAATTAGAGTGCAGTCACATCTGCATTTCAAATGAGCTCAATCCATTTTGGTTCTCATAATTTTGAGGGCTGAATAAATCGTGCTCTTCCAGTTGTGAATGGCTGCAATGCAGAGCCTCAAGAGAGAGGGAAACTGTAGGATTCAACATGCTCTGCACTATTCCTGGCAGCCGCAGTGCTGCTCTGAAGGGTCATTATAAACCTGGATATTTATTCTCTTTGGAACATTTTGAAATGGTCCTGAAGAGTTCATCTTTAAGCTGAAGCAGTTTTATCCAGTTATCTTAACCTTCACACCACAGTAATCCACTCTTCCCTCAAGAAAATCACTTAGAAAAATATGTTCTTCACTTGTGACAGGCAACATATCAGAAATGCCAACATTAGTAATTTACAAAAAAATTTGGCAGTTTATTGTTTTGGTTTTTGTGTAAGGCACCTGTCACGGAGGGAGGTAAAGCATGAGTGGTTTTCCAAGGTCCATTGTAGAGTTGCGTGGGTTTGGTCGTTCAGTCACAAAGACCTTCCATCAAAATCAAAGGCTAAATTCTTGTTTCTGTCAGTAAGGCAGTTTAGGTGTCCTGAACAACCCTTCTGATTGAAATAACTACATTGTTGAATAAACACTACATTTTTCCTTTAAAATGCATTGCTGAATGGCACCAAGGTAAGAAATCTACAAAGAAACAAAACAAGTTTGGGAGTCAGACAAACGCAAAGTTAGCTTTCATCTTGAAGACTCCTGCTGAAAAGTGGAATACCTGAGCTTCTGCTTTGAAGATGATGTAGGCATGAGAGGTAGGATTAAAATCCCAGGGCCCACCCCAGTGAAGAACCTGATGCAAAATACCTGTATAACCCTGGGACCCCAAAGGGCTATAATTTAAAAGTTAGGATGAACTAAAAATAAATCCTAACATGCAAAATGTAAAGCCAGGAAACTTACCTATCTAGACTTGGTGTTGGCAAAAAAAAAATTCCTCTGAAAATATACAACTAAGATATTACAAGAGTTTTTAGTTCAAATTCACAGAACCTCTGCAGCCACCAAAAATCACAAATAGATAAATATATTCAAAGTGGTCCCAGATTGGTAGCACCTCTAGGATGCTGTGAAAAGCAGATGCAAATTCTCTTTGATAGACTTCAATGTCAAGCCAGCTTCTAAGAATCCAAGAAAATCCAGCTTCTGGATCCAAGGAAATTAGCCGTTCACAGCACCAACACCAAAACCTGTAAAGAAATAAGGTACTGTGTGTGAGAATCAGCAGATACAGACAGCTGAAACAAAGCCTCAAAAAGAACTTGAAAATATGAGCTAGGAAATAGATTTTACAAAATTACCATAAATATATTTAAAAACCAAATAGAACTGCTAAAATTTAAAAAGCAATAAAGAAAGTGAAAACTCAATGGATGGATTAACTACCAGATTAGATAAGGCTAGAGAGAAATGTAATGAACTTGAAGACATCAGTGCTTCAAACTTCTATCATTCTGTTACTCCATCATCCTTACAGTGAGACTCCCACCATCATGGCTGCAACATTTCCAGATACTGTATCCATGTGTATCCCACATCTAAGAAGGAAGAAGGAAAGAGCTTAATTCTTATGAAGCTTTGTCTGTTTTGAAGCTCTTTTCAGAAACTTCCAACCACAACTCCAGTGGTATTAAGTTTCCTGGAACCCCCAGCTACATGGGGGTCAATGGAGATGGATGTTTATTAACTTGGCACATTGTCTTGTGAAGAACATTAGTGTTTAATTATTTAAGGAGAAGGAGAGAATGAATATTGAGCAGCAGGCTTCCATGGTCTCTGGCAGGAATAAATTTGTACTGTCCTAGTGCCACTGCTTCAACTGTTCAGGCAGAGACATGGCTGGAGTCCAGATCACAGCTTATGACTTGGAACAGAGCAACATTTCTGACTTTGAAGGCAATCTGAGGCTGTTTTTGCATTAGTACACTATTCTAACCAAAGGAGCTAACCAACTACTGTCTTCATGTAATAAGGCACACAAACACAAACTGTATTCCTCTCTTCCCTAAATTCACAAACACAAACTGTATTCCTCTCTTCCTTAAATTCTGACATCTTTCCCCCAATGCCATGAAACAAAGAATTGTCATCAACCCTACAAATTTAATTTGCTGCTTTATACACATTGATACCTCTATTTGGAGGTGTTCTTACTTTTTAGACATGTCCTGTAAAAGAATGACATCCTTTTTCTTTCAACTTAAATGTTTCCCCTACTTCAGCAGAGTACTGAGAACGAAATAAAATCATATGATTAATACCATCAAGTCTTAGAATTTATAGCTATTACTAGTCTTCTATCTACACCGGAGAATTAAGCTAAAGTCTAGAAATTCTTCATATCTCTTCCTATCTTCCTTCTATCATAGGAAAAAAGATGATTTTTTTTCAATTTATATACTTTATTTTTTAAAGCATGTTATGGGTTGAATTGTGTCCTCTCCTCCAAAGATATGTAGAAGTTTCTGGTACCTACGAATGTGACCTCACTTGAAAATGGGGTCTTTGTACATGATCAAATTAAGATAAGGGCATTAGGGTAAGCCCTAATTCAATAATGACTGGTATTCTTTAGAAAGGGTAAATTTGGATCCAGACACAGACGTGGGCAGAAGGAAGACAATGGAAAGATAATTCTGTGATGACAGAGCCTAAGAGGACTTATTGATATTGACTCAGGGTGGCTGGCAAAATACTAGTGAAAGTTAAAGATTGTAATCTCAAACCTTTTGGAAGGCCAAAAGGTTTTAATGAGGTATGCTGAAAGCAGCTGCCTCATTTACATTAGCATAGGAAAGAGATAGAGATGATCATAGGCTTTCCCAGTTTAAATCTGTTTATATCACATTCCTTTGTCTTCACTCTAACTGTTTACTCATGTAAATTTTGTGCTGGGTGGCCCTCTCAGGGGGAGACCAAAGGAGAATTACCTATTACTAGTATTTACTCTGGTCCAGAACCTAAAGCTTTTATCATTTATAAAACCACTCTTAACCATGTTAATTATCCACAAGTGAGTTAACTTAGAACCTCTGTTGTAAAATTCATACTGAATAAATGCAATGATGGAGAGGGAGTCTTGGTCAATCGGCTGCATTTCGCCCTCTGAAAGCAGCCGACGACTATCCCTAGCCCACTTGAATCACTGTAATGGTGTGAGAGTGCATTCATTCATCCGTCATTGAGTCAGGATCTGCAGGCCGGACCTCCGCAGGTGGTGATCACCATATGCAGAGGTCTGGCCTGCAGACCCTGACTCAATGACGGATGAATGAATGCACTCTCACACCATTACAGTGATTCAAGTGGGCTAGAGATGGTTGTCAGCTGCTAGAGCTGATGTAGCTGTCAGTCAAGGAATGTCAAGGACTGCCACCCCCCTCCACAAGCTGGGAAGAGGCAAGGAAGGACTCTACCCAGAGTCCCTGAGGGACCCTGGCTCTGCCAACACCTTGATTTTGGACAGCTAGCCTCCATAACTGCGAGGCAGTAAATTTCTGTTTGAAGCAACCCAGGTACATGGTTGTGGCAGCTCTAGCAAACTATTACAGAGCAGTTTTAGGTTAGCAGAAAAACTGAGCAGAAAGTTAAGTGTTACTGTGTGCTACCTTGCACACACACTGACCCAGAGTTTCCCCTATTATTTACAACTTGCATCAGTGTGGTTCCCTTGTTACAACTGGTAAGCCAATATGGGTATGTTACTATTAACTAAGGTTCATGGGTTACAATAGGGTAGGCTCCTTGTGTTGCATGTTCTGTTGTTCTTTTGTGGACATGTTTTCAGCTTATTTGGGTAAATACCAAGGAGCATGATCCCTGGATTGTATACTAAGAGTATGTTTACTTTCTAAGAAGCTGCCTGTTTTTCAAAGAGGCTGTATCATTTTGCATTTCCACCAGCAATGCATGAGCATTCCTGTTGTACCACATCCTTGTCAGCATTTGATGCTGTCAGTGTTGTGGATTTCAGCCACTCTAATAGGTGTGTAATTCTGAGAACAAAAACTGTTTCTCTATACTCACACAACATTCACTTCTGACCCCAGATGTTGGATTTTTTCCCCACAACAATTCAATTCAATCCTGAAACTATCTACCTGGAGTTAACATCAGACCCACAAGTTAAGGGCTCCATCCCACAGGACTGTCCCCACTTCAGAAGCCAACTTCAAGTCCCCAAACCACTTGGCTTTCTGACTGACTAGCTATAAATTCATGAGGTTCCCACAATCCTGTCCTCAGGTTCAATAACCTGCTAGAATGGATTATTTAGTAATTCTAATTTAGAGAAACACTTTGCTTATGTTTACTGCCTTATTATAAAGGATACAATACAGAAATAGCCATAGGGCAAGTTATGGGGCGTGATGGGGGAGGTGTACAGAGCTTCCATGCCCTCTCCAGGCATGGAAGCCTCCTAAGCACCTTGATACATGCACCAACCTCTCAGTTAAATTTCATGTTCAAGAGTTTGTATAGAGCCTAATCTCCAGTCACTCCCCTCCTCTACTCCCCTTGAAACCTCGCAGAAGTCAGGGTATGCGGTTAAAAGTCCTAACCTTCTAATCACTTGGTCTTTCTGGTGACCAGTCCCATCCTGAGGCTATCTAGGGGTCCTACCCTTGGTTATCTCATTATAAACCCAGGTATGATCAAAAGGAACTTTATTTTTTTGAGATGGAGTCTCATTCTTGCTCTCCAGGCTGGAATGCAGTGGCACAATCTTAGCTCACTGCAACCTCTGCCTCCCAGGTTCAAGTGATTCTCCTGCCTCAGCCTCCTGAGTAGCTGGGATTACAGGCACTCACCACCACGCCCAGCTAATTTTTGTACTTTTTTTTAGTAGTGACAGGGTTTCACCATGTTTGTCAGGCTGGTCTTGAACTCCTGATCCATTCACCTTGTGTTCCATCCACCTCGGCCTACCAAAGTGCTGGGTAGGCATGAGCCACCACAGCTGGTCTGGGACTTTTCATAAATAACAAATGACATTCTTATCACTCAATAATTTCAAGTGTTTTAGAAGCTCTGTGCCAGGAACTGGGGCCAAAGACCAAATATATTTCTTTTCATACCACAATATAGTATCTCATGGTTGCTCTAATTTAAAACTCTCCAATGATAAATTATGTTGAAAATCTTTGCATGTGCATGTTTGCTGTCGATATATCTTCTTTGATGAAGTGTCTGTGCGGATCTTTCACTTATTTTTAAAATTGAGTTGATTGTTTTCTTACAGTTGAGTTTGTATATTCTGGATATTATTTGTTTTAGATATAAGTGAGGTTTTTTGTTTGTTTGTTTTTGAGACAGAATCTTGCCCTGCTGCCCAGGCTGGAGTGCAAAGGCATGAACTCAGCTCACAGCAACCTCCACTTCCAGGGTTGAAGTTATTCTCATACCTCAGTCTCCCAAATAGCTATGATTATAGGCATGCACAAGATACCTGGCTAATTTTTATATTTTTAGTAAAGACAGCGTTTTGCCATGTTGGCCAGGCTGGTCTCAAACTCCTGGCCTCAAGTGATCTAACTGCCTCAGCCTCACAAAGTGCTGGGATTACAGGAGTGAGCCACAGATGTGTTTTGAAACTTTTTTTTAGTCTGTAGCATGTCTTTCATTTGCTTGATAGTGTCTTCTGCAGCACAAAAGTTTTTAATTTAACGAACCATCGTATCAGTTTTTTTCCTTTATTGATGGTGCTTTTCACTCTAAAAAGCCATTGCTACACCCAAAACCAACTACATTTTCTCCTATGTCATCTTCTAGAAGCTTTATAATTTTGTGCTTTGCATTTGGATCTGTGATCCATTTTTAGTTAATTTTTATGAAGCGTGTAAGGCTTGTGTCCAGATTCATTGATTTGCAAGTAGAGGTTCAGTTGTTCCAGCACTGTTAGATGAAAAGACTGGCCGTTCCCCACTATAGTTGACTATATTTGTGTGGGTCTATTTCTGAGCTCTCTAGTCTGTTCCACTGCTAGATCTCTTCCATTGATCCGTTTGTCTATTCTTTTGCCAATACCATACTGTCTTGATTACTGTAGCTTTACAGAAAGTCTGGAAGTCAGGGAGTATCTATCCTCTGACTTTGTTCTTCTTCCTCTTCCTCAATATCATATTCACTGACCTGGACCTTTTGTCTTTCCATATAAACTTGAGAATCAGTTTGTCTATATACACCCACT